TAAACCAAAGAATATCATGATTCACTACTTCCACTCATCTATGCTGAAAACAAATCAATTTTATCATTTCTTAATTTATATCACTTATAAATGTTTATAATTACATGTTTTTAATTTTTCACTCATGAAAATATTTTTTACAGAATTTATAAATTATTTTTAAGATTCAATCGTCCAGACGACTAACATTTCAGTCGTCGAGACGACTAACATTTCAGTCATCCAGACGACTGAAAAGTAACTCAGCTCGACTCAGACAACTTACTGGGGTTATATTCGTAAAAATGTCTTCTGTTTTTTTGTTTGGTCACAGAGGACTATATTGTAATTTCATAGCCCTTTTAGGTTAGATTTGCATTTGATTCAAGTTGGGGTCTAGTATTGGGGTTAAAACCAAGTTGTGGGTTAGTTTTGGCAAAAACCCCTTAATCGGATCAGTTACATATTCATTTTTATTGAATCAGATTCGGTTCGTGGTTTTTGGGTGCGATTTATTTGCCCAACCCTAATTATCAGACAAAATCGTTATAAAGTATTTTTAAATATCAATTATCCGTCTCTGATAATGATTGTGGTTTAGTTTGGTTCAATTAACTAAACTCCCAACTCTATAAATATACAAACTAGAAAACCACATCAACCGTTGGAGGAAAAGAAGAAGAGAAGCAGTTTCTCAAAACAAAACCTGAAACCACATTTTTCCCTTTCACATCTCCGAGAAAAAGAGAGAAACATTGAAATGGGTCACGCCATGTTAATGGCTTGTGTAGTCGCCGGAACTTTACTCGGAGTACTTAACAAAGTAGACGGAGTCCAGATTTTGTCAAAATCAAAGCTAGAAAAGTGTGAGAAGACAAACGATTCAGGGAGTCTCAACTGCTCAACTAAAATCGTCTTGAATCTCGCTGTTCCCAGTGGATCTGTAAGCCTTCCTTTACTCCCACCACTGCTTTAACATTTTCGCGCTTTTATAATACCAACTTGTGCTCATCACATTTTACATTTTTCGTGACGAGTAAGAGCGGAGGAGAGGCTTCGATTGTAGCGGAAATCGTCGAAGTGGAAGATAATTCGAGTAGCAACATGCAAACCGTACGTATCCCGCCAGTTATCACAGTGAACAAATCATCAGCGTATGCTCTCTATGACCTAACTTACATTAGGGTACGTATGAAGTTATATGTTTTTGTCCGTCAAAACGTAAGTTGATTATCATCATGAATTAATTAGTCTCTAATCTTGGTTTCAGGATGTGCCTTATAAACCTCAAGAGTATCACGTTACAACACGAAAGTGTGAGCCAGATGCTGGACCTGATATTGTTGGAATATGCGAGAGGCAAGTATCTTTATTTACCATATGTTTCTCTTTCTTGTTTAGCTTTTAAATGGTGATACCTTGTCGGAACAGGTTGCGTGATGACAAAGGTAACGTTCTGGAGCAGACTCAGCCTGTTTGTTGTCCATGCGGACCACAAACAAGATTGCCTTCATCTTGTGGAGACATATGTACGTTTTCTTTGTCTTACCATTATCAATCTCTTTGGTTTGACATTCAATCTCCAGAGATTATATGCATGGCTGTTCATATAATTTGGGGACTATTAACATTTTAGTGTAAAGTTTTATAATTTTGGAGCCGTAAAACTTATATACATTAGCTCGATAGAATATTAAGACCATTCTTAATGTTTCACTGGACTATGATTAGAACCTGCGTAATTTGTATGTTTTGTGAAGAATATTACAAATGTCATTTTCTTCACTTGACTTTTTATCAGTCGAGAAGTTGATAAAAGGGAAAGCAAACACAGCGCATTGCCTTCGTTTCCCTGGTGACTGGTACTAATCCTCACTAAATGTGGATTTACACTAACAATGGTTGTTTGCAAACTCACACTTCTTGAGCTTTGGCCACATTATTTCTCTCCTCTAGGTACCACGTTTTCAGCATTGGACAACGGTCTCTAGGATTTAGCGTGCGTGTTGTGTTGAAGACAGGAACTAGAGTTTCAGTATGTGTTTACTTCATTTCTTCAAGCTTGCTTTGTTCTGAGTAGTTCAGTCTTTTATGATTCGAACTAATGGCAGGAAGTAATCATTGGTCCTGAAAATAGAACAGCTACTGCAAATGATAACTTCCTCAAGGTCAATCTAATAGGAGATTTTGCTGGTTACACAAGTATTCCTTCTTTCGAGAACTACTTTCTTGCAATTCCAAGAGAGGTATATATAGCTCCATATCCATTTGGAAATCTTTTTATGTGCTGTATCGTTAAATAGTATTTTAAATAGGCGGCTGTAGAGGGACAACCAGGGAGCTTAGGTGGAAACTACTCAATGTGGATGCTGCTTGAGAGAGTGAGATTTACATTGGATGGCATAGAGTGTGACAAGATAGGTGTTGGCTATGAAGCTTACAACAACCAACCAAGTTTCTGCACTGCACCATATTGGAGTTGCTTACATAATCAACTATGGAACTTCTACGAGGTTAGCATTTGATGAACAAGACCAATGTCACTGACTCCAAATTTTATATAGTGGCTAAATTATATTTCAAAATATAAACTATTAAAATTTACACTAAAAAGTTTCTAACCTCTTAGACTTTTATGTACTACCTTATTTGGTTATTGTTACGCCGATAACAAGTTTATTTCAGGCAGATGTGAACCGGGTGAGCCGACACCAAGTTCCTTTATATCGACTGGAAGGAAGATTTGAAAGGATTAATCAGCATCCAGTTAAGTTTACAGCTTTCCATAGTATTTTTAAACCATAAAGATTTTGTTGTTGGCTTATCAATTGTTTTCCCGTTACATGATGATACAGAACGCAGGGCCTCACTCTTTCTCCATAGGAGTCACGGAAACACTCAACACAGATCTGTTGATCGAGCTTAGAGCTGATGATATTGAATACGTTTTCCAGAAGTAATATTAATAAGTCTTCAACTTCTTTTTTATAATCTGATTATAAAGTGAAAGTAGTAAGGTTTATGTGTATGGTTGTAGGAGCCCTGGTAAGATCATAAACATCGCTATACCGACTTTCGAGGCACTTGCACAATTTGGAGTTGCTGCAGTCACAACCAAGAACACCGGTGAAGTAGAAGCCTCTTATAGCTTAACGGTACTACTTGTAAAAACTGAACCTTATCTTCTATTTTGATACTGCGAAAATTTTCTTGATTATATTAATCGCATCCTCGTTTCCTCATGTTTAGTTTGATTGCTCCAAAGGTGTGGCTTTCGTTGAGGTTACTAACTTTCACTGAATGTTATATTATAAGAACAATCATTGTTAAAAGGGAAAGATATAAACTTGTATATATTCTTTCAGGAGCAATTCTTTATTATAAAACCAAATGATGTTACAACTCGATCTTTCAAGCTGTACCCAACGAAGGATCAGGCTGCAAAGTATATATGCACAGGTTATTTTGATCTTTACCATTGCCATTACAAATCTCCCTTCTCTTACAAGTCCTTGCATGCATAACAATGCTATGTTTACTATGTGTGTGTAGCTATACTAAAGGATTCTCAGTTCAGCGAAGTAGACCGAGCCGAATGTCAATTCATCACGACAGCTACCGTACTGGACAATGGAACTCAGGTTTCTCTACAGTTTTGTTCGGTTTCTTGATTAATGTTGATGTTAGATCCTTGACTGACAAGGTATTTATAACGTGCAGGTTACTAATCCATTTCAAATTCCAGAGACTCTTCCTAAAGGTTTCTTTGAATCAGTTAGAATGATGTGGACGAAAATCGTGAATGGTTTAGTCGATTTCATTACCGGAGAAACTTGCAGGTTACGTTACACACTTTTTACTAAATTATTTTTTCCACTTTCTTTGAGAATGTGATAACTTGAAAGTGAATCAACGATATGTGACAGAAACAAATGCTCGAGTTTCTTCGACTTCAGCTGCCACATTCAATACGTTTGCTTAAGCTGGATGGTTATGTTCGGCCTCCTCCTCACTCTCATCCCAACCAGTAAGCGTTTTCAAACCGCAATATTGATCACTATCCTAACTATAACACCAAACTAACTTGCGGTTCTGTTTTTATATAAACCTCACAGCTTGTGTCCTTCTCTGGCTCTTGCACCAAAAGGGACTCTTTGATCCATTATACGATTGGTACGAAGATCATTTTGATTCAGATCATCGTAGATTGTTATTACAAACCAGAGAAAACGCCTTAAACCACCGCCATCATCATCGTCGTCCTCACCGGCATCGCCATGATGTCAAAACGCATAGTCACCACCATCGTCGTAGAGCAAACCGCAGACACAAACATCATAATCATGGGCATGATGACGACGATGTTTTGCAGAAGATGCTTAAGCGTGACCACAACGACTCTCACTATTACCAAAATCTTCACCGAGTCCACAAAGATGGCAAGCATAAGCAGCGTAGGCGAGGAGAGACGCACGGGATCGTCGTGCCATCTGATGTGGACGTGGACAGACGCAGGAGAGTGAGGCTAAGGGAGGATCAATTAAAAGAGATATCCTCTATCCTCTAAACGTTATGGCTTTGATTGTGTGACCATGTAGTATTATTGATTTACTTTGATTTTTTTTTTTTTGTTACGCATACTTACATTCAAATTAACCTTTAAAGTTTAGGGGCGATACAATAGATTCATGACGTGCTTAGCTAAGGCATCAGCTTCCATATTGTTGCCACCATGAATCCAATAAAACGAAATAATATATTCAAAAGTAACAGCCATACATAGAATCTCAGCAACAACATCTAAGATTTCTGAGATCTGCTTCCCATCCTGGAGCTGCCTCAGGTCACCCGACCACCCACAGCTAATGGACCACTTCTCAGCCTGCTTTTCTAAGGCCCGAAAGTCATCTTTACTAATCCCGCAATCACACATTTCCATGTGCTTTGACATTTTTCATACGGTCTCACGAATCACTTTCTGATAGGTCACCTCTCCTTTCAGTATTCTAGCTCAAGCAAGCTCAACTTCAGAGTTCTAGACACATGTATAAGGAAAAATATAATTGCACTTTGATAGCATAAGTAGCTAAATCAATTCTTTTAAACTTTCACATATACTACAAATTGGGATGTTACAAAGACTTGCTACGTGTAATCCTCAATGTGATCATCTTCTCTGTGTTTCGTTGGCAGCAGTGAAAGCTTCATGCCGCTTGTTGTTGCACGCAAAGCATTGGCTTGGTTATCTTTATGGTTAACGATAGCTTTCATGACGTCAAGTATTGCGGCTTGATAGCTGGAGGCAGCAATTCAACCCCTTGATTTCTTGTTCTGCTTCTGTCTTCAGTATGATCTCTTCTTGGTTTACTCCATTCTTATTTATAGGGTGAAATAAAGTAATCAAGAACACACGAGATTTTTAAACGGTTGCTTTGTTTTATTTCTTTCTTAACTTTCTTATGCTTTCTTATGAGATACTCTTACACATTGATCTCTATATATAGGTATTCTTAGCTTAACCTATTACAACTTGATCTAGGACTTCTTATCTTAACTTTCCTTTTTATTCCTAAACCTATCTTTTTAGTTATCCACCTTTCTTTAGGATAACTTGTTTCCTAAGTAATGAAGCTTATCCAACATTCTCCCTTCTAAGCTTCATATCATCCTTGCTTAAGTTGAGAACTCGAATCTGCTCTCCCATTTCCTTGAATTTGATCTTTGCCAATGCCTTTGTTAGTATGTCTGCAAGTTTCTCTTTGCCGGGTACATGTTCAACATCGATTTGATCTTTTTCAACACACTCACGTATGAAGTGATACCGTTTGTGAATGTGTTTACTTCTCCGATGAAAAACAGGGTTCTTGGTTAGTGCAATGGCCGACTTGTTGTCCACTCTGATCAATGTCTTCTTAATCTTTCTTCCCATTATCTCACTCATAAAGTCTTGTAGCCAAATTTCTTGCTTTGGCGCTTCCGTCGCTGCCATAAATTCAGCTTCGCAAGATGATAGAGCTACTGTCTCTTGCTTTTGAGAACACCAAGTTATTGGTGTATCTCCGAGACAAAAGAGATGACCTGTGGTGCTCTTTCCATCGTCCAAGTCAGTGTTGTGGCTGCTGTCGCTATATCCAATGAGCTCTTGCGATCCTCTGTCTTTAAACTTTAATCCATAACCAAGAGTACCTCGTACATATCTTAGAACTTGTTTTAATGCATCGCCATGTGACTTACGAGGCGAGTGCATATACCTGCTGAGAATTCCCACTGAGAATGTGAGATCAGGTCTCGTGTGCAGGAGATATCTAAGGCATCCAATCCTTCGCCTATAAAGTGTTGCATCGATCTCAGGTTCCTCTGTTGCTTTAGAGATCTTTAAACCGAACTCCATGGGTATTTGAACTGCATTGCACGCGTCCATGTTTGCATCTTTCAATAGTTGCTGTGCGTATGGTTCCTGCTTAATCTCTATCCCACTTGAGCTTTGTATTACCTCAATTCCGAGATAATATGTTAGTCTACCGAGGTCAGACATCTCGAATTCTTGTGACATGGATTTTTTAAACCCCATGATTTCTTCCACAGAATTTCCTGTCACAAAAAGATCGTCGACGTAAATAGCTACGATAAGTAGCCTTGTCTTTTCTTTTTTTTCTCGATAAACTGAGCTCTCTTTCGAGCACTTCTCAAACTTGAGCTTCTTGAGAATCTGGTCAAGCTTCGTGTTCCATGCCCTAGGAGCCTGTCGTAACCCATATAATGCCTTCTTGAGTTTGAAAACTTTGTTTTCTTCTCCCTTCTTTTCAAACCCTTCTGGTTGAGCTACAAATACTTCTTCGAGTAAGTCACCATGTAAAAAGGCTGTCTTAACATCAAGATGATAGATCTCCCATCATCCATTAGCAGCATAAATTCCTATAAGGAGCCTTATCGTTTCTATTTGAGCCACTGGTGTGAAAACTTCGTCGAAATCGATTCCATGTTCTTGAACGTAGCCCTTTGCAACAAGTCTTGACTTAAATTTGTTGATGCTTCCATCGGCGTTCCGTTTGATCTTGAAAATCCACTTGAGACCAATGATTTTTTCTCCTTGTGGTTTCTCAACTAAGATCCAAGTTTCATTCTTGTATATAGAATCAATTTCAGCTTCACAAGCTAGCTTCCACTGTTTATCTTTGAGAGCTTCATGTATACTTGTTGGCTCATCATTCAAAATAAGTAACAATGTTTCGCCCTCAATATCAGCCAGTAAGACGTAATCCTCGAGATAAGCTGGTGTTTTAACTTGTCGCGATGATCTTCTTGGTTCAACTTCTTCATCACCAGTCGTGCTTGCTTACTCTGTTTCATTAGGTTCTGTTTCGTTATGCTCTGTTTCTGATTCAAAATTCGGTTTTGCAACTTCATCTTCGTGGTGAACTCCTGAGCTGTAAGGACCACTTCCTTCATCTTCTATTGTTCCCCATGACATGTGGAACATTCCAGGTTCGCTGTGAGCTTCATTGCTTGCTCCCTTCCAATTCCAACAAGCTTTTTCATTAAAGATCACGTCTCGACTTACAATAATTTGTCTCGTATTGGGATTGTATAATCGATAAGCTTTGGTTCCGGGTTCAATTCCGAGATGAACCAATGCTAGTGATCTATCATCAAGCTTTCTGAGTTGACCTGAATCCACCTTTGCATAAGCCATACACCCGAACACTCTTATGTGAGAAAGACTTGGCTTCTTTCCTCTCATGCACTCGTATGGAGTTTGATTCGTTAGAGCTCTTGTAGGAACCTTATTAATCAAGTAAGTGGCGTGACGCACTGCCTCGCCCCATAAGTACACTACAAGAAATAAGGATTTTAATAGCACCCGTAAAACGCTATCATACGATACCATAGCGTTGTAGAAAGCGCTCCAATATCGCCCGCGATAATAGGTCTGGTCCATTAGATAGCGGTTTTGTTATCCGCTATTGATATTATTTTAGTAATAGCGGTTTCGTTTATGCAATTGTAATTTTTAATAGCGTCTCTAAAATGTTATTATAACATTTTTCCTATAGCATGTTTTAACTATTATTGTAGTGTTCTATCAATAGCAATATTTGGAATTTTTCATTGCATTTTTAAAATGTAATTGTTCATTTCGTTTGTGACAAATTTAATTTAATGTTTTTATTTTGAAAATAATACAAATGAAATCGAAAATTAGTTCATAATTAAAAATTAAATTTTATTAATTAATTTAAAGCAGTACACAAATAATTAAAGAATATATTAAACCAGAAACAAATTAAAACATTAAACCAACATATAATTAACCAAAACTTAATTAACGTAAACCTAAAACGTAACCAGAATTAAAAAAAATTAGGTAAATCAGAATACATTAAACCAAAAAACTAATTAATCCTAAACCTAACTGCAACCCTAATCCTCCGCCTCTAGCCTCCAGCCTCCAGAGAAACCGCCACCAGAATTAGCCTAAACCTAACTATGTAACGCCACTTCTTCTTCTTCTTCCCTACTTTGTCTTAGATCTGTAAACAAAAAAAAATCAATTAGAAGTATATAGGAAGATGAAAAGAAAGAGAGAACAGATAAGAGGAATGGGAAGTGAGTTTACTTGTCGTGGTGGTTGCTGAGACTTCGTCTGTGCTTAACACTTTGAATCAGTAAAAACCCTTTGGACTGAGAGGAGAGGAGATCGAAACTTAACACTTCTAATCAGTAAAAACGGAATCCTTGGGACTGAGAGGAGAGGAGATCGAAATTTAACACTTTGAATCAGTAAAAATCCTTGGGACAGAGAGAGGAGAGGGGAGGAGATCGAAACATAGACATGTAGAGAGATGCAAGATTAATTTTTTTTTTGAGACCTGTAGAGAGAAGAGATCGACAGAGAGAGGCAGTAGAGAAGAAAATAATATTTTTTTTGAGACCTGTTGAGACAAGAGATCAACAGAGAGAGGCAGTAGAGAAGAAAAGAAATTAGAGCGTTAGATTGCCTTTGGTCCAAATTAATCCGACGGTAGAGATTGTGATCCGCATAGAATCATTTTATTGGTCAATGACAATTTTCCTTTTTTTTCTCTCTTTTAACTTGTTTGTTTGTAATTCTTAAGCTAAAATTATTTAGTAATAACCATATCTTTAATATATTGAAAAAAAAAATTTAGTACTAAATAATGGCTGTATGTATATAGTTAATTTTGTATTTATATTTTATGGTTTATAATTAAAATTTTAAGATTACAAGTTTAAAATGAGATATGTGGATTAGGGGTTAGGTGTTAGGTTGAGAATTAGGATTAAGTATGTGGTTTGAGTTTTAAAACATACTTGGAATTTAAATTATAAGTTTGTAAAGATTGGATTTATGATTTTATGTGTAGAGTTTAAGTTTGGGTATAGGGTATTGGATATATAGTGTAGATTTAAGATTTAGTGTTTTGAGATGTAAAGTTATGTTAATGTATGATTTGAGGTATATATATGTAAGGTTTATAGTTTATATATATAAAATAAAAGGTCAAGATAAAAAATTTTGAAATTAACTTTTGTAAGTATTGGCTAGTATAAAATTAGGATCTTTTAAATTAAAGACTTGATGTTAAAAATATTAGATTAGACTAAAGACTTTACATGTAGGGTTTAAGTTTGGGGATTAGGGTATTAGATTAGAGTATAGTTTTAGATTTAGTGTTTGAGGTTTAGATTTTGAATTTGAGATTATATTTTTAAATGATTAAATTTTGAGTTTAAGTTTAAGATGGAAGTTTTTTTTGATCAAAAGATGGAAGTTATATTATGAAAATATTGAAATTTTAAAGTTTATATTTAGGGTTTAGGGTTTAGAGTATAGGGTTTAGGGCGTTGTTATATATTTTTAAAAATACAATTACAAAATAAAAATAAACAAAAAATAATTTTATAAAATGTAATTTGTTAAGATTACAACTAAAATATTGTTAATATTTTTATAAAATGTAATTTGTTAAGATTATAAAATGTAATTTCTTAAGTGTAATTTGTTAAGATCACACTTAAGAATAAAAAATCAAAACTCTCTCCATCTTGAAGTTTCCCCCTCGGAATCACACCAACGAGTCTACTCCGACTCTCTTTCTAGTTCTCTCCTCCAACTAGTATCCTCATTGCTTCCTTTCTCTACGTTAATAATCAAATGCAAGTCTCAGAACAGAACAAGTGATTCAATAATCAAACCCAAGAAATACATCTTAAAAGACCGATCCAAACTTAACCTGTGTAATCTTGACATTGGCTTTCTGTTTTCATCTCTGGTGGATGTCCTAATGCATCTCTTTGATTCCTACCCCATGTAAACAGCTGAGAAACCATCTAAGCTATAAATGCATTAGTTTTTCTTTTTTCAAAAGATGTATCAACATATAGGAGCAAAGCCATCTCATATATAAACAAAGATAATTATATGAGTTAAGATTAAATCCTCCAAAGTATCTTACTTTCTCACCAACCGAGCTATACTCGAGGCTATGGAAGGAGAGAAGATGGTTCACATGATTGATCTCGATGCTTCAGAGCCTGCTTTGATTCAAGCTTTTAACTCTAGGCCTGAAGGTCCACCGCATCTGAGGATCACTGGCGTTCATCACCACAAGCGACTCAATCTCATCTTCTTAAAACGTTCGGAAGATCAGCACTACCAAACCTCTGAAACCTCACAGTCTCAGAAACCTCTACGTTATTAGCCTTCACAAACAAAATTGCAGGAAGCACCTATAGATAAAATCATCCACTTTAGTCATAAAAAAAAATCAAAGTGTAAGAATAGAAGAATCAGAGACTAATACTTCATTCAAGTAGGCGGAGACTAACACATTCACACAGATAAAGATTCAATCTTTGTACATACCTTGACTTTGCAGAGAATAACTTGGAATTTATTGAGAGCTTCTGCGTTACCTTCAACGAAGTTAATCCGCATCACAGGTCAACATAGCTTCTGCATTTCACCTTCAAACATCAAACGAAGCATGTTATAAATACAATCAAACACATAAACATAAACTCTGATCACAGAGAACTTAGGAGAACAAACATAAACTCTGATCATTAGGAACTTAGGAAAATAAACATAAACTCTGATCATGCTCAGGAGAATACAGATTAACGCCTCTAAATTATATATTAAGCTTTTGGAATCTTTCTCTAACTTAGGTTCACAACAGAAGATACACATAGACTCTGATCATTGAAAACCATCTACAAATCGAAACA